TATATATATATGTAATAATAAAAAATAAGATATCTTTATGTAAGGCGATGTACAATATAATAGATTAAATTTGTGTCTCAGCATATTTATTTCAAATGTTGCGTGTATACAGATTCACGAAGAAATATAAATCGATCTATCTATAATACATTCTTGCTCAACAATTCTTCCTTATATTTCTATATTTTATAACATGATATATAATAGAATCTTTTATTCATTAACTAAGAGAGTATAACTAAGTCAGCATAATTAATGGATTTTTTTTCTATTATCTCATTGACATTACGTGATGTATTAAGCAGATTTTCTTCTTTTATATATTACGTAGAAGAAATCATTTAAGTAACGGTGACGTTCGAATATCGCCACATTAACGTTTGGCATATTGTATTTATGTTTTGTGTGTGTGTGTATAATTTCTTTAATATAATTAATTTAAATGAATATATAGTTCAACATCTTAACATTCAGACCTTAGTGGTGCTTCGTATTTAAAAGTAATGTATCTAACATAAACGGTCTTATTTCCAATCTTATTATACACACACATACACACATACACATACAAAGATTTCAGAATAAAACATCGAGATTCATCAAGAAATATCGCTATGTACATAATACTCTTATGCCGCGCTGGCTTTAAGGCTGAAGAAAATGATGATTTAGAATGCCGAAAAACAATACAGAATTAAATTCAGATATAATAATTTGAACGCTCTTACAAGACCTCACCATTTACCATTTATCTATTCTTTGACGATAAGTTTTTCTTGAAATTATAAGTCACTCGAATTATAATTCAAGCATTAGTCAAGATGCCTAAAGCCAACGCTATTATTCGATAGAATATTTGGCATGCTTTCAGTCATGTATGACAACGTGTGTGATTAAAAGCAAATAAATATATATTCATCATAAATAATTTTATAGAAAGTCTTAAAAGAAAGAGATTCTTTAAAAGCGTCCTGCTTCGGAGATCTAAGATTTTTGAGATTCAATGAACAAGATAATATCATATCATTTAGTGATACAAATCGACAAAATATCATACTATCTTTCTCGACATTCAATGTATGAATAAAATAGAACATTTGTATCAATTTGTATCATTAAGTACCCTAAGTTTCATTGTAAGTTATTTCAACGTGGCAGCTAATAAACATTATTCTCACGATGGTCGAAGAATCATGTAATCTGGACGGATCTTTGTATCTAATCACAACGCTAAGTTAATTCACTTGAATGCATAAGTACTTTTTTTTTGTTAAACCCTACTTTAAACGGGAGGTAAACGATTATAAGTTGCGTAGCTTTTTACGCAACAGCCTGAAACGAAAAAGCAAATAGCAAGTATAACGACCAATATACCGATAAATATATAAGCACGTAGCAGTGGAAATCTGTCTGGTAACCACAGAATTGTAAATTCAACGGTCTTCTCTTGAGTATCTGCAATTTATATACACACACCGATGTAATTATGACCAATAATAAATCTTGAGAAATTCAACATATTGAAAGATCTATACCTATGTACGCAAGTCCGTAACCCATGTGTGGCGTACCCATTCTGTAAGAACAGGTGGGTATTTGTATTTCGTGAATATCCCCTACGTCCATTCTTAATTGGTACAGAAGCGTTTCATAAGGTGACAAAATCCAAACGTCGCTTAACTGATCTGTCGCTGTGTCCAGACTTATTTGCATCGCTTTGTGTTCGTGCGCGGTAAAAATGACTTGCGGTGATAACTCTTTGATTACCTATAAGATCAGACAGTGGTATAAGATAAATCATCAAATGAGCTTCTCTTATTTGTAATACTTGAAAAGTACATTTTGTACGAAACTTCCGGGCGTAAACAGCAAAGGTATATGGCTAAGAATAACATTAGTTGTATTCCTTTCTGCGTAATCATTAAGAAATGCATCCTTCGGCGCTTCCGGCATCGTGCGTGTCAATCTATTTACCTAAAACAAAATATTTGCCAATTTATCTCATAAACACGCAAAGATTATATCGAGAAGATTTGCGTTTACTTTGAAAAAGGTAACGGTCTTGTACACTAATGTGTCTGGCTGAGTATATGCGAAATTAAATCTCTTGTGGATGTTGGGAGAAACACGATCGTTTTCACCTCCAATATCATTGTCGCCTGGCAAATAAATTTTCTAAAAGACAAGACTAGCAATGAAACATAATTTCCACAAAAAAGGAAAAAAGAAAATTACATAATTAAAGTAAAATACCATTATGTCATCTGGCATCGAAAATATTGAATCTAATCTCCTCTTGTATCTTTCAAAATCTTCTGCATTAGCTATATGACCTTCATCCATGAGATCACCTAAGAAGGCAATAACGTGCGGCTGAGAAAATTTTAATGCTCTCGAGAAAGTCTTCTCTAAATACCTGTGCAATAAAGTACAAATGATCTATAAGGCTTTCGTCTATTAATTACAATAAAATTACTAGATATTTTGTTGGTCATACCTATCACTATCCCATCTTGCTATCCATGAACCAAAGTAATTCTCATATTTTTCCCCGAGTATTTGAGGATCTGCGACAAGAAGAATCTTGACGCACTCGGAACATTCGCGCATGGTCCACTTGAGCTTTTGTACTTCATATACGAGAAATTCATTGTAAAATATTGTCACAAGAACAATGATACCAATTGATATTACTCTGTGCTTCAACCTGTTTAATATAAATTATTAATCATTTATAATTTTATTTTTTTATACATTATATTGAAAAGTAACTCTTAGATTTTGTAACTGTTGCAAAACAAAAACAAGTCATTGCTAGTCATTTTATATAATCACGATCCATTTTATATCAATTAATAAAAATGTTTAAATAATATAAATAAAACAGTGTCTGTTTTGTTTAATTTAATATATTTCTTTATTAATTAATAGCTTATCATTTTGCTATCAAGTTTTGCATCAAATCAAGTATTTATTTGAAATAATTCACAGAGCAGATTTTAATTTTCTATTTTGTAAAAAATAATCATTATTTGAACTCGAATGTAATGTGTTTTTGAACGACCTATTACATACACTTGTTAAAACAATTGCATAAAAAAATTACCTATTACGTCGTAACATCTCTCCGCAACTTACAGCATTCTACAACGCTGATTGAAAAAACTCAATGACGCAGTCTTGAGTTCGTTCATCGGTATATTACGATTGATATCATCAGTTTTAATAGCAACTAGATCGTTGGCACGTTTGTGATGACGAGAGGTTAAATGGTCATGTACACACACAAGACGAGTTTAACTTTTTATTCACCATCTTATCGCTATTATGATCCCTGAAATCCTCGAACACAAACTTGCATTCTTATGCCATTAATGTAATTATCGTGCGATGATCGGTACGCACCGTAATCACGTAAAAAAAATAGAGAATTGTTTACTACACGCTACATATTCAGTTCAGGTTATGTTCCATTGTTCACTGCCACTAGTTGTCAGTGTAAATACTTGGACACCTTTTCAGCAGCTTGTTCAATGCTCAGTGTTGGTGACTGTCAATGCGTGAATTGTTATGGATATAAGAATAATATTAAATATACACAAAATAAAAATTATCAACATTATAACTTTATCACTTAAATTTTGACTAATTAACTATTTACTATCCAACGTTGAAAAAATATATCAAAAATATCTGACAAAATTTTTTCAACAAAACTTTATTTTCGAGAAAATCAAATTTGTAATTAAAAGAAATAAAAGAGACTTTTTTAAAACTTCATATATGTGTGTAATAAAAAATGTTAAAAAATGATAATTTCAATATAAATGACAAAATTTAATTTTCAATCATCCGTTTGTATAATATCTATAAGAAAACTAAAGCCTATTGTATGAAATGATCTTATTTGGATATTTCAATCCTTTTCTTTTTTATATAAAATTATTCCTTTCTCGATGCCACCAATAATTAGTACGTATATCTTTTAAGCTTGTGAAATTAAATTAAAGCGGAATATACCAGCAATATATCAATTAATATAGTATATCTTACAATTAAAATTGATTCACTTTTTATTAATTAGCGCCATCGTTAATACCATTATTATTGGGGTATACTGAATTAATTATTTTACTAAAACTACAACTGGAGGGCTCCCCTCGTCAGTAGTCGGCCCTGGCCACAACATATGCGAGTGTTTACATGCGCTGTCCGCGACTCGCTTCCGCCCATCCACGGCATCCACCGACCACCAGTACACCTCAGTACACCTACGCGTTTGTGTAAGTTTCATTTTTTCATGCTCCTATTGGAGAGCAAGAACGACGGCAACGACGACAACGACGTGCATCAAGTGAGAAACGCGTGATCTCTATGAGAGGACGCGCAGTTTAGTGAAACGAGAAAGAGAAAGAAATACAAAATCCACCGCAGCGTCGTGCGATCGCCGTAACGATGGGTGGCTACGCGAGCAAGATCGCGTCAATGTCGAACCTGGCTGTGCACAACGTCTACCGGGGTTGCAAGCGAAAATACATCGAGGAGTACGACTGTGACTCTGAGTCCGATTACATCGAGCGGACGTTGCACACGCCGAAAAAGTAAGATCGCTCGGCCGGTTTGCATTTATCTCGGGCATTTTATCTCCCTTTACTTCCTTGCTATTCGACGACAACTGTCATATTATATCGTGTAGAGCTTTTGCATTTAAATCTCGTATTCTGTTTATAGGAGAAAATTGTTGACAACGGCGCAGTACATATACAAGACCCTATTCCAAGAGGAGAAAGGCAGTGACATAACTGTTCTCATACTTGGACGTGCATGGAGATTGCATAAAGTTTATATTAGTCAGGTATGAGTCATTCCTACGTGAACTCCCTCTCTCGATGTCTTCCTGTAGGTCATGAAATTTCAATAACAGATTCTCTGATATGAATTTAACTCTTGATAACTGATAGTGAGTCTATCGAATCTACTTAATTGTAAATCTCTTTGTAAAAAATGTTAAACAATTTAATTTTTTTTATTACATTTTCAAATTTCAGATTATTAAGATATAAACTTAATATTGATTTTTTTAAATACGAATTGTATTATTTTGATTCCTTAAAATTAATTAGTGCCTTTTAATTAATATTTAAATTAAATGGATCTTACAGATCCAGTATTAGTAATTGTGTTTTGGCGTCAACACTTGAGATATTAAATATTCAATTAAAATTTGACATTATTCCATTGTCTGCTATTGTTTGTGTTTTAACGTTAAATATCTTTGAAAACAAGTCTTGTAGAAATTTAAATTTTATTAAAATAAAATTTATTTGGAATTACAAAAGAAATAAAGTTTTTTTTATTGTATTTTTCAGTTATTGTTTGTTAAAAGTTATACATTTTAATATAGCTTATAATATTAAATTCTTTGTTGCTGATATTAATATAGTTCTAATATTTTTATTAAGATAAAATATATATATAGATTTTAAATTAGTCGAAGAATCTGTTTTTAAATTTATATCATAATTTTAATTATATTTTTGTAATGTCATGATATGTAAATTTAGGACAATGTATACAAAAAATTAATTTTTTTTAGAGTCCATATTTTGCTAGCATGTTTTCTGGTTCTTGGAAGGAGGCTAACGAAAAAGTCATCAGTGTTGAAATCACAGATCCTAATATTACAATAAATTGTAAGAGCATCATATAATTAAATATTGAAATTAATCTTATGCTGTATAAAAATTAAAAATAATAGATAAGAAGATATATACTACATTATCGAGAAATAATATCTAAAATTATTCCAGCATTGTCTGTGGTATTGGGCTCATTATATCAAGATGAAGTCAGTTTGGAGCCAAAGGAAGTGGTTTCTATCCTGGCAACTTCTACCCTGTTTCAATTACAAGGCTTAATAGACGAGTGTGTAGACATAATGATAGAAACTACAAATAGCGAGACTGTTGTGTCATATTATAATGCAGCTGTGTCGTATGGTGTGCCTACTGTGAAAGCAGCTGCGAAACGTTGGCTGGAGGTCAATCTATTGGGTTATGGATGGCGACATCCGTCCTTTCTGAAAGAAATTTCACCAGATCTGATGACAGAATTAGTGACCAGTCCTGATTTAGTTGTTTTGCAAACAGAATTTTGCATATACATGATGTTACGCTTATGGTATGTTTAATGTGCATGCAGACATCTATATTTTGCTTCTAAAACAAACGATAAAATTATCGTGTTTCTTCTATATATAATCATACATGATTGCTGTATATTATTATGCAGGTTATTTGCACATATACATGATTACGAACATGAAACACTAAAGATTGACGAATTTTTCAAAAATCACAAGTGGACTGAACCGTTTTTAACAACTGAAGAAGGCAAGGAATACGCAGCACCTTTCAAAGCATTAAGAATGAAATATTTATTGTTACATGAACAAGATGATAAAATTTTATACAGTGATAATTTAATACCACCAGACTGGCTACATAGTGCTTACAGAGAACAATGGCTTCACTTATTAAGAGTGGATGGAAATAAAGATAGAGGGTAGGCACAAATACAGTTGAATTTTTTTTAGTAGAAATGATATAAATAGGACTATATATATTTTTTTCTCTATGTACAGTCCAGTACAAATGACGGAAGAGGAATTTTCCAAGGAGTGCTATCGGTGTGGTAGATGTGTCGAGAAACCAGGTGAACACATTTGGAGGTGGAAAGCATTTCACTATGGGCTAGATTTACTAATGACTTTAGATACAACTAGCCTGCGGATTGAAAGAAATCACAGAATAGACTGTGAGCATATCAAGGCAAATCACAAAGAGCATAAAATACTGATAAAGTAAGCTGTAGATTATTGGCTAATTTAACAGTTTACATTAAAAAATGATAACAATATAAATTTTTTTTTTATTTTAGAGTTTGTTTATTTTCACTGAATGAACAACGCCAAGTGAAACATGTCCAAGACTCGCGTATACTGAGATTACGTTTGAGAAGGAACACAGAAGTAAGTTTGCGTCGACATTTAAGAGCCACGAATCCCGTTTTTAATTTAATATACAATACGCAATAAATCACATGTTAATGCATCTTTTTCTCAGCACGAAATAATGGCCCTGGACAAACAGCTATGTTATCCTTTGTACATATCGGTCAACATGCAACTAGTCACTCCACTCACATTAGGACAAGAAGACACATCAACTGACATACTTTCGGATACTTAGCATTTCGAGAATGTAATGCTTTATGAACATGTAAAGATAAAGGATGTGGGATCCAATTGACGCTTTGTAATATATTTTGTTTAATTATTACGAATTTTAGACGAAATTCGTAGACACACGTTACTATTTGGCACAACACTTAAATAAGAAAGAAATATGGATTTCTAGAAACCAAACTTTTTTTTTTACAGAAGATACAGAATTTATAAGAATCCATTCTTATCGTACTCTCTCATTTCTAACAAATTCTTTAGTTAATTTGGAATCAATTTTTTCAATGAAAATGTTTTATGCAGGATCTATAATAGAAGTTGTACAGTTGTGGAGTCTTAAATAGGAAAATATAATCGATTATTTTTCTTATATTAGATTGGTAAATTTCCTACGATTTAAGACCCCACGATCGTCTATAATTCCTATTGTAGATCTTGCATTGTAGTTTTTAAATTAGTAGTAAATAATAGACATTTAAATTTATATTTAAATAGGATAATAATAAAATTTATATTTAAATTGGATCGCGAAGAAAAAATTCTGCGGTATTTTTTAGTTCGAAATTGTATATACAATATCTTCGTTAAAAATGATCAAAATTTAAATTTAAAAGAAAGATTTTAGATCCGGTTGCACCAACGTTACTTTGACTTTAAGCGAGACTTAAAACTCTGTATCTCGTTTTACAATCGAAAAGAGATAGGAAAGAGAGTTTTAAGCCTCGCTTAAAATTAAAGTAACGTTGGTGCAATTGGGCTTTAGACCTTGAAATTTCTACTTTCGAATAATTACTATATTTTTTAAATTTATGTGACTTTTGTAATTTTTACATATAGAAAATTACGAGCTGAAACAAATTAAAAATTTTCTTTCCACTTTGTAGATCTGTAGTGTGTCTCAAAAAAATTTGAGCAAATTTTCGATTAGCTATCGTGAAAGTTTGAAGTTTTCTCTACAAAATGTTTAAATTGACAATTATATCACTCGATAGAGCAACGTTTCAGCTTTAAAAAATCTGATTTTTTAACTGCGATGTGATGATTTTTAACGGAGCAATTAAAATCAAAATGCCCTTTTATTTAATCCGCATGTAATTTGGTAACAAAAAGTCGTAGGAATTTCTTTTTAATGAACTTTTAGGAAAAACTTTAAGCTTTTACGTCATATAGTCGAAACAAATATTTTCGCAACAAATATATTCTGTATATAATTTTGAGCTAACAAAATACCGCAGAACTTTTCCTCCGATCTAATAAATAATAAAATTTTACTTTTACAATAATTTCAAGTAGACTTTAGCAAAATTTCTATATTAAATGTCACATAAAGATATAGATAATAATATTTAAAATTGTGGAAAGTTTTAAATATGCAATTCAATATATTTTAGAAAATAATCATCTTTCAAATTGCTAAAGAATCAGTCATTAAAAAATAACACGATAGAAATGGAATTTTGACATACATTTGTATATCTATGTACAGTAATGCATTTGATACGGTTAACGCATTTAATGTGGTTCACATTAATTATAGTGGTCATTCCAACAAGCTTTAATCTCATTAGATAGATTTTAATCTTTTTTCATATATATATATATATACGTACTGAGAGACATATTGTGATGCATAACAATGCTATTAAATGCTATTTTAAAGCGGTTCATTGACACATTTTGACTGATTAAATTGCATCAGTAATAATCTGATAAGGCAATGCATAATCAAAATTTCTGTCTGACAATGCATAATCAAAATTTCGTTTAATATCGAACTTGATCCACTTTTTGTAATTAATTTGTACACAATTTCTTAATGCCAAATAGTTCTATTAGAATACCATTATAAGATTTTTTTTCGATGTCCATTGACTTTGGTTATATGATGTCCCTATATTTTTTCCGTATTCGAATATAACAAGAAATGAAGAAATTAAAGTTAATTGATATCGAAGGAAAAAAATTTTGAGCGTTTATCGAGATCGGCAAATTAGCAAATGAAAAGTTAGTTAGTTAACACACATTTTTAGTTTGCAATAATTTACGCTTCATTAACGATCTAATTTATTTGCAAGATTTCCCATCTCGTATACCTAGCATTATTAGCAGTATTAAATTTTTGATTACGTATTCAAAGTTTTATAAAAAACTATAAACTTGAAAGATTTCTGTTTTTACATCCTTTATTTGTAAGAAAACAGTTAAAAAAGAAAAGTTTAATATTTAATTTGAACATATTGTTTAGGAAAACGATCAAACGCTCTTCTGTCTTCCTATCAATAAAGAGTTATCTTCGATTCTGGTGCCTTTTTAATATTTACAAAAATGGACGAAACTAATGCGTATGTGTGAACCAACTTTTATAATGTGCATAAGATAATTTTGTAACATTTTCTTTTTGTAAAAGGTTTTCTTACTATGACAACTGTTCGGTGAAGTTAATAAAAATATAACACACTTTACACAATTTCTCATACCTATCTTTATAAAATGATCCTTACAGCATTTGTACGGAAGGTATAAAATATCATAAACATAATCAATTTATCAGTAATACTTTTTTACACATAAATTTTGGAATAGAATATCGTTTCGTAGCCTAAATCACTACTTTTTACGAAAAGTAACGATTATGATACTACGACAAAACGTATGTAACTAAAGGAAGATGGTTATTGCGTGAAGAAACACATTACTTTTATTAATCATTCAACACTTTATTATTGGCAGAATACTTTTTTCTCTTTCTTTCTGTACATGATATATGATATTGTAATGTCATTTGATAATGATCATTACGAACATTTCAATGAGGCTTGAGATTCACGCATTCTTTCGATACGTGTCGCAGCAACGATAGTTATATGGAAAAAATGTTGGAATTTTCTAAATTTTTTTTTAAAAGATAATGCATTATTGAAGCCGATCTCAATATAATAATCATTAATTTCGCACGTAATTCAAAGTGCAACATTTTGATGAAGAGGTGTTACTTCAGCTTGAAAACAGCGACCTATAATTAAAAAATTCTCTTATAACAATATTTTTACACATAATATATTTTATGTTATAATATTATATAATAGCAGAGAGAATCTTGAGAGCAGCTATCTCCTCGGCCTTTTTTGTAGGATCATCGAAACCTTATATTACCGCAACCTCCATTTTATGCCATTAGAAATCCATATGCCATTAGAAATCCATTGAAGGGTACTACTAAGTATTCACGTCATAAGGTCACTGAATACCCTTTCCCTCAATGAAAGAACGATTTTATAAAAGTATCTAAAAATTTAGATAGATACAAATGTGAATATATATATATAATTTTGTTGGACTATTAAAATAATTATATAGAAAACTCAAACATGATTTAGCAATTAATTTAAGTGTTCTACGTAATTATTTTGATATTTTTAAATAATTCGAAGTAAATTTTTAGATATTTTAACAAAAGCATTTTTTCTTTGGATATCTAATGCCATGTTAAAATGGATGATGACAGTAGTGTGAATTTCGATGGTCCTACGAAAAAGGCCAAGATAACCACATTTAGACTTCTCTTTCTGATAAAAACTATGTGTCGCTACTTTCAAGATACAACAGCTATTTTTTTTATATTAATTGTAGACTCATGTTTTCTGTTCTATAATGCAACAATAACTTTTACTTTTTTTTCCTTTTTAATCGATAAAGTGCGGTAGAGCATTATCTGATCATTCGGCAACTGCAATATTTTTTTCACTTGAACAAGATCGCGAAATTAATGTTCTCGCTCATGCAAGAAATATATGTCACGCGAACAATTCCACGTAATAATTGTGACGACCGTTTATATACAGTTTTCAATACAATGTATGCAATTGCAGAATATTTATACGATACGATATACTACCTTTGAAATATAATGAATTCCAATCATACGGCGATGTTTTCAATCGTTTACAACGCGGCTATTATTGCGACATGTATCAAAAAAATACAAGCGAATTGTCTCAACAACAAGAACTCCGCATTTCTGTCAATTGTCTGAGCTCGTCCCGAATGAGAGATTGAATAAAATCAATCTCGAAACGACAAAGAAGATAAAAGAGAGCTCTTTTTGGAAGAAAATTTCTTACTGTCAGATTTGCGTATAAAATCAAATTGCAAAAGTATATGTATAAATAAATATATCTATTATTAAAATGATAGGAAACGTAAAACAGTATTCAATAACATTGACGCAGAAAGAAATTTCGTCGCATTCATATTTTAATACTGTCTTTTTTATACACAAATATTATATTTATTTAAGAAAATATAAAATCTTGAAGAAAAGATACTATCAAATCTACGAAACTCGATGTTAATATCATAACTGATTTTTTATGCAAACCTAACAACAAAAAGTTTATCTCGTTCTAATTATTTTATAACAGTAACGAAGGAGAGGAATGAACAATCCGTTTGGTATCAAATTTAAGAATTAACGCAGTTCATAATTTTAGTGTTAATTATATCACAGAATAGTCTCTGGAAAAACATAATTTATATTAATTTATAATTTATGACAATGCCAGAATGGAAATCGTTTGTTACATCCCATGTGCTGTATCCTCTTTTTCTTATTTTTTTCCTTTTCATTTTCTTATCGATATCATATCACGTTCGTCACGGTTGTTGCCACATTTGCACTCTAATGATAATTATTAGCAGTATTATTTGTAACAATGGGTCGGTAATGTACGTACTAACAATAACTATAATAATAATAGTAATAGTAGTGATGATAATAGTACCTAGTAAACAAACTGTCCGCAGTATAGTAGCAGATTGGTAGCAAATTCAATTGGAAATTATTAGCGAATTGGCATTACCTATGTTCGCATTAGGCTTATATTTTGTCAACTAAACCTGCTGACGTAACTAGATAAATCGGTGGCAGAAATCAAGTAGAATCTGTTAAACACTTTAATTCTGTTTTCAATATGCAATAAATTATAATAAAGTAAATCAACGTCTGCTTGATTTCAGCTGTCAATCTGGTATATATTATTATTGCTATAATGTTGCCTTTCCATCATCATTTTGCCAGCAGTATTGAGTATGCCAGATCCGTAACTTTTTTGCCAACAAAATTTGCAAAAATTTGGCAGAATTTGTTTTCGCGACAGACTGTTTGGTAACGACCCATATCAATGGTGATAATGGCAACGACAGGATGTAACAGCGGTATTATAAAGATAAAGATGATCGTTTTGTAGAACTACTATAATGCGTAGTTTATATTGATCAAACGTCTACTTCATCTAATTTCTCTTCATATTTTTGTCAATAATCCATCTACTTTTCATATGTCATATGTTATTGCTCATTCGTTATGTTTGCCGACATGCTGCTGTATATATGTTGCCATTATTATTACTATTATTATTAGCATCAGTATTATAGAGGATGTTCGATTGTTATAAATTTAAGCGCATAATAGTTGTAAAATGTTCTATTCTCTTAAAAAATATGAATAATTTCTAAGTTATAAAAAGAAATTTAATGAATTTTCCAAATGAAATATTCCTTATTTTTAAGAATTTTTTTCATATTTTAAAATTTTCGAACTTCTCCAGATTTTCTAAGTTTTCTTCGAATAGTTTTACAGAATAAGAAAAATCTTAGAATATTTCACGTTTTAAAAAAATTATAGCGTGAAACTTTTCTGAGACAACATTTCTGAGAAACGTAAAAAAACCTGAGAAATCTTCTAAAAAAATTGTAAAATTTATGTGAAAGTTCTGTAAAATTATGCGAAGAATTTTAAGAAAATTTTTGATCAAGATTATCTCAATTTGAAGTATGGTGGTACTTAACATAACTTTTCAAAATTATGAAAAGAACGTAATATCTCGTTAAATTTCGCCAATTTTGTCAATGAAAGTTTCAGTTTCCGACTGAGAACTATTGTCCACTATAAATGTCCACTATAATTGTGCGCTCTCATTATCGAACATCCTGTATTTACCGAAGACTTATTTATTACCGAACACCTCTCCTTTCTATCAATCGCGAGCAAAAGAGCAACAATTAAGGACCGATTTTCCCAACGTCGGTCAACTGATCCCTTTGTCTATATATCAACATGCGCGTTCTAAAACGAGATAGAGAGATACTTATCTGATTTAATAAATTATATTATTAAACGCTTTACATGAAAGTGCAACAACCGACCCTAATTGAGCTATCGAATTTAGCATTATGCTCAATTATTATTGCACAAACACGCACAAACATACAAAGCATTCACACAGCATACAAACAGCGATTATTGTACGCTCAGGTGACTCAGGCTTAAACTGCACTTATTGCAAAGTTCTACGAAACACGCGAATAATTCGTGGACACGACGGCGAATCTTCAATTCTCATTAGAGCTAAATGCGAGGTCTCTCTCTTTTCCTTTCGATATATCGTCGATATGTTATATCTGTTTTACATTATCCTGTCTTTTACAGTTCATTATAGAATCGTTTAAAGTTTAAAGAAATGATATATCGTATCCATTCAAATTATATTTCAATTTAATCGGAAAACTTGGTATCAAGTAGTATTAATTAAGTGGAGATATCGAATGAATGGTGAGAGCTTTAGATAAACGTAATTTTTCAAAGATTAAGTTAATAAACTTTCAATAAAACAAATGTTTGTCTATTACATCTTCATTATTTCTCTGTTTTTTTTTACTAAATTTAAAATAATTGTTAATTGTTAATTGAAAAAAATTATATGTAGTTATATTAAAAACTATAGTTAAATTTTTATAGATATGTCTAATTATATTATTATGTGCAGTTAAATTAAAATTCCATGTTATAAATCGATAATAATTTACTCAAAAGTTTTCCATATATTAAATATAATTTAATCGGAAAAACTTATGTTATATAAATTATATCACGATTAAATTATGATACGTGATAAATAATACTGAACGGATGCGACGCGGACGCGTCCCGTATTATATCCCGTTTCGTTTCGCAAATACGCTACGTATCATTGCACCTCTAAAAATAAGCATGCCCGTCAATCTCGCGTGCAATTCCATTTGGCTTATTATTTCAACGACAAAATATATTTTTATATACTTTTTTTACTTCGCGTGCATATACATCGTAATTAATGCGTACACACATACAGGCAGGCACACTCATGCACAGACACGCGAATGTGTGTTCAGCGGTAGCAGGCGAGGTGCGAAATGTGTTATCGCGATGCCGCTACTTTGTTACCGTGTATTTTACTCTTTATTGTTATACTAATCGTAAATTTTCATAAGATATTCACCTCTCCTACTAGCGTTCTTTTTTTATCCCGATATTGCACTTGTCGCACGTTAAAATTCGATCGTTCCTGTACAAAAATAGACAAATCGATAGGAATTGATAGGAATGCGTTCTGCAAAAAACTTACTATTTCTTTTGAACCACGAAACTTTGCAGATTTAAGAGATCGCGTAAGGTTGTTGGGAAAAACTGTGATAAGAGACATTTTTAAATATTTAAAAATAATTTGAGAAATTTCAATAATAAATAAACTAATCGTAGAAGGGATTCCTTAATCGATTCCTCTTAATCTGTCTATGCAAAAAAATATCCGGAAATTCTTTATCTGAACAGCCGAGTCAACACAGCCGATGAAATCCGAATGAGAATCGCGCGATAAGCGCGATATCAGCGCAACACGAGAGGCATCGGTGATCAATTCTTTTTTTTTTTTTTATACGCAGAGGCCGTGGTATCTTTTTTTACGTTTTCTCCTGGTTTTTTTTCTTCGCAGAGATATGTATACTACTGAAATGTCGCCCTCGCGCATCTGGCAGTTATCACCGTTACGCTACGTTAATTAATCTGGCTACATTACGGACCGTTCGCAGCCGAAGACACCATTCGAGGGGTCGATTAAAATCTAAAATCTCTTCGTTAGCGGCAAAAATTTTAAATTATCTACGAGAAGTTAGCTGAACGTCGTCCTTCGTCCTTCAGAACAATTATCAAAAAGGCCCTCGTGAATGCAAGTGCGCGAGAAATCGGGATTTTTTTAATCTCGCGTTGAGAAGCCGATCTCGAAATCCTGAGAAGTACAGGGGGGCGACGCATCGGATTCGTTGTATAATTCGAGCTAGCTAGCTGCTTTGGAACGAGTGAAGGAAAAATTCAATATTGCTTGGGTGCGAAGTTTCCTTCGTTGGCGGCGTGAAGATTGACGTGCCTCAATTGTCTGACGCTATTTAATTAGGCCGAAAGCCGGTATAATTGTTGATAGGCTTAGATCCGTATTCATATGCCGTAGATCGATCCACGATTAATCCTCATTTCAGGCGAGAGCTAGATTTGTACTAAAGATTGAACCAATCAGATTTATTAAATCGTGGTTTGAGAAGCGTATTTCAAATGAAAGACTGATTCAAACTCAGCTCAAATTGGATCTCAAATTGAATCGCGACGAACTATGAATACGACCTTTAAAATCGGAACAACGACTTTTCCCCAGCAGCGTACGATACAGCCATTCTTTCGCAATCCATTATTTTATACTTATCCATCACAATCCATCATACTTATTACTCTAACTCATTTTGAAATCACTACGTTACTAAGTCTAAGGCTACTTATCGCTTTTAATTGAAGTATCTCTAATTATTCCAAAGTCATCAATCCAAATCTTAAGTATTTTGGCTGTATCGAACCCTTATCTGAAGATCAGGTGATCCATCCAACAAAGAAGATTTTTTTCGTCATCTCGCAATCTTCTTATCGGGAAAATTGTAGCTAGTAGGGAAATTGACAACAACGATCGACTGGCGTTCGATCGATCAATATAACGGAGTGAGGAGTAAATCCAAGGTATACGAACGGTCCGTGCGGCGCGACGACGGGCCGGGGATGGAATCTCAGATTTTCAGGGTACGACTTGAAGAACAACTAGGCAGAATTAGGCTGCTGAGAGGGAGATACGAGATGGCACGATCGGGCACGATAGGAGCAGACTCGGTGTCGCCAATATGGCAGTCAGAAGGGATGCCAGTGGCAGTAGGGACGGCGTGCGGAGACTCTCGACGGAGTTGCACAGATCACTGGTACACGAGCAATATATAGCGCGCACATCGTGGGTGCCGGTCCTCATAAGGCACTCGCCGTTGTCCTTCTCGGCGTCCGTGATGTAGCCGCAGCTGCGGACGACCCTCTCCTTCCCGTACACTGCAACAGTTACGGGAAACGACATTGAAATCTCTGTTTTTAAATTACCTTCGCTGCTTAGAATCTAGAATTATTTAAATGAGATTTAAATCTATGATAGGTATGATCTTTGAACCGGGAATAATCACCTGTGGAATGATTTTTATTTCCAACAGCGAACGAACGCTCAGTCACGGTAATTTCTTTTATTGATTCGAAAATCTATATGTATTTTTTTTAACTTCATCTACAGAATTCTATAAAAGCTTCTTTCACCAACTTCTAGTTAAATTAATCGACGATCAACTCGCAGAAGTGCCAAGAGCAGTTTAATGTAACACAATGTCTCCTCTCTCTTCCTCTTCTGAGACAAATTATGTTTAATTCTCACGTTGGCAATCGTGATAACTGAGCTAGCCATCGATTAGCGTTAATCGGTGAAAGAGATCCTAAAATCTCACCTTACTTGTGATTTCACCTTACTTTTTAAGAAAATAAATACTGAATTTATTCAAATAACACTCAATTGTCGCGAGGTAGAGATACACACAAACGTCACTTTGATTGAAACTTGACGAAAGTTTGAATTACAATATGTAATTAATAATTATGACTTTTAAGTGAAGTTGTAAAAATATGTCAGATAATTGTTTACGTTGAAAAATTAGAAGACCATTCTTGAGTTAAATGCGCGGTTATTTATGTTTCGAACTTGTCATTGATGGTTCAATGGACTCTTTGATTAATTCAGAATCGATAGCTTTCGAACGAAAATGCTTATAAATAATTCAATTCCTCATAATTAATCCAATCGCATTAATGCCTTTGTCATAACGTTGCCCATTGAAGTGACATTATTGCAATGCTATCGCAATACTCATAAAATGTAATATAAATGTAGAATGATATTTGTGAGTTGCGGATCAAAGCATGCCTAACTTGTAATTGATATAAACAATGTTTAATAAATAACAATTTTTTAATATGCAGTAAATCATTACAGTTGCGAGCTGTTATTTGAAAAATTATTATAATAATAAATGTAGAGTTAAATTAAAGTGAAAAGTGATAAACAATGGTTATTTTAAATAAATATAAGACTTTCAGAATTTCTGTTAGGTGAAATTTAGCAAAGAGAGACTTCACCTTTTTGACTGATTTTTCGGCAAAGGGTAGGCTCCAAGTGACTGAGGTGCTCCAGACGAGGTTGAAAGCTGCAGTTTACAGTCCCCAAAGTGTACGAATCGAATGGGTCGCCACATCTGGGGTCATACTCGCTGTTGCATTGGTAACATATTATCGCTTCACCTGAAATAACAAAAAAAAAAATCGATCATCATGCAATTGCATTTGCAGTCGGATTTGCGAAGAATTATTATAAGATCGAATAAAATTGTTTCTTCTGAATCTCGAAATAGCTATTTCTAAGAAATAGATATTTCTAAGATTTTTTCTGTATATTTTTATTTAAACAGTGGCAACTGATCTTATACATTTATACGAGAGATTACGATGAACATTTCGTGCAACTGGTTAAAATTTTC